TATTGATCAGTTCAACATTAGAAGATTTCACCGAAAGGTTTTTATTCTCATGATATACATGCTATGAAAAAGAGTTTATTAACCGTCATAAAATCCAGTGGATGTATCTTCAAGTGAGAATCAATACAAAACAATTTTGTTCACAGCAAAAATATTTTTGCATTACTAGCCCTTGAAAGCAGCGGAAAATCCTTGAAAAATCGATTCAACCCGAGGCCTTTTACAGCCTCTACTCATAAACATTACAAACATTTCATGAAAACCGATACAAATTGAGGTCTTCTGACCAGTGAGGCCAACATAACACACTACATTCACTGTACTAGCCCTATAATGGCCTCAGCCTATATGGCAGTCATGTTTGAAAACCCCAAACCATTACCAGACGATAAAAACAAGCCCAGAACTTGAAATTAGCCTCGTCGAATCGTATCTTGGAGACAACAGAAAAATGGGGTGACTTTAGAAGTTCTTAATGAAAAAGGTTTGAATTTAGTTAGTTTACATAGAATAGTTGGGAGAAAACCTGTCAAATCAGCATCGAAAAAGCTAGCACCGAGAAACTTCGCGCCTTTGAAATTGGCTTGTCGAAGTATGGACTGAAATGGAGGAAACGGAAGATCAATGAGCTTTTAGGCATTAGAATTAACAAAGGCAAACACCAAAGACATCAATTAGTTGAAAAACAGAACAGCACTACCTTGAAAATTGAACTCTTGCTTGATCAATGTCTTGCCACTAAAATCTTTTCCGGTTAAATCTCGTCTCCTTGTTACTTCAGATCCATAAGGTCCTCCTTTTAACAATGCACATTATCAAAACAAAAAGACATTCATAGCCAATTCGAATCCCCGGAAACTCGTATTTGACACTCACATCCAAATTTAAATAGCATAGCTTTGATGATCAAATTCGTGTGTATCATATGAAAACTAAAATTTACCTTGAAAACAAGTGCAGGATCTACCAAGAGAACAGTAGCAGAAACAAGGGCAAACATAAACAATGCACATTGTCAAAACAAAACAAAAATTATAACCAATTTGATTCGTCGAAAACTCGTATCTGAGACTCACACCCGAGTCTAAATAACATAGTTTCGATTATCAAAATCGTGTGTATCATATGAAAACTCAAATTTACCTTGAAAGCAAGTGCATGGTCTACCAAGACAATAGTCATGGGTATCCAAAATACAAACATGATGGATGTTTGTTGTCCCTACTATTTCTCTGACTAACAATTCCGAGAGAAAAAAAAGGGAACAGCAAAGTTTGTGTTTCATTACATAATGAGGCAAGGCATTTACAGCTATGAATTGGTTTTGGGGCTGCATTATCTTTTTTAACTAAACATTCATTTGTTTCTTGCTTTAAAGCGATATACCGAAAGAACGTCAATTTAACTAAAAAATAACCTAAAAATTTAATATTTGTCATTATTTACCAAAATGTCAGCTATTTGGATAAAGCGCCTTTTTAAAACGTGACTTACACATACGTGACAAAGACGTTATCTTATGCTAATTTGACAACACATGTCTAAAGAAAAATTTAATAAAATGTACTTTTAAAAAATTGGAAAAAAAATAAAACTATGTGAACCAAAAATATAATTTAATACGTATTAACTCCATGAGTTAAAATGTCTAATGATGTTAGTTTATATATACATAAGTAGAGTGTTATGTTTGGTAACAATGTGGGATAAAAGTTAGACTTAATTATAAAATAAGTGCACAAACTATAGCGTTTTCACGAATAGGTGTTTACAGTATTTTTTTGAATGATCATGGTGCCTAACGTTATAAATGTTACCACATTAGATGCCCGAGTCTTAAAAACCTTTAATTTTCTCCGTTAAGTGATAAGTGTCACATTCTGGTAATTTTAAAAATTTTATTCAAAATTAAAAAAAGTAAAATTACATATTTCTAAAAAAACAAAATTTTCGAAATAGACTCAAAACTTTGAAAACATTCATTTCTATATCTAAACACATGTTAGTTGTCGCCCTTTACTATTGATGAAGCCCCACCCGACCTCACCTACCCTCGACTATCAATACCCCTATGAAATCGTGATCGATCGCTGACCAATCGACGTTTTATACCCCACGAACCCTATGATGAAAATCGCGATTCTGATGACCAATCGGTGACAACTACGACGACATATGACTAGGAGGATGACAAAGACTAAGTCGGTGACAGTGGTTGTGACCAGAAAGGGCAACGGAGATAAGTTAGGGGTAGGATTTTATGAAAGTGTGTGTGTGTGTGTTTTTGTAATTTAAGAGAAATTAGGTTTTTTTTAATAAATATACTAATATTTTTAATCTAAAAATTTAAAATTACCAGAATGTGACACATGTCACTTAATAGAGAAAACTAACGACAGTTATGGCCCGGGCTCCGAAAGTGGTAACACTTGTAACGTTAGACTCCACAATCATTCAAAAAATATTGTAGGCACCTATTTATGAAAAGCAGTATACTTTGGGTACTTATTTTATAATTAATCTTACAAGCTAAAAGGAGTTATTCTACATTTTATCATGTAATCTTTAATTTTTATTTTTATTTAATCCGTTAAATTTTATTACTAAAATATATATGAAATAAAATTAAATAATTTAATATTCTAGAATATTAAACTATTAGTCTTATAAATTATGAAATGAATTTTATTAATTTTTTTGTATAAATATTTAATTATTATAATCATCCCTAGTCAATAGTAAGTTATTACAATATAATTATTTACTTTTTATGTTTTTAGGTATTAAGAATAATATTTCAAAAAAATAAAAATTAAGAATAATTATTTAATATTCTAGAATAATTATTTATTTGGTTTTAATTTTTGATATTAATATATTCATCAAAATATTTCTTAACAAAAATGAACTCATAATTAAAATAATATTTTAATATATAAAAAAATAATTTTTAATTAATATAAACCTTAATTTATATTTTAATAGTAAATATTAACCTAATGAAATTCAACAATAGTTTTTGTGTTTTCAAATTCAATGGTATATCACCTATTTAGTCACCCACATTTTTTATATTTATGTTTTGATTACTCAACAATTTTCTTTTTCAAATCATACCTAACATTATGTTTGATTTCTGTATTGATTTCATTGTTGACTTGTGACATGGTATAATAATAGTTTTAGTTACTAAAACTTACACATTCTACCCAATTAGCTATAATTTCAAATAATACAATGAATATCTTTCTAAAAATTTATCGATCAAACGATTTTAATAATGTTTTAAGCAATAAAATGATACTTAGTAGTAAAATTTGAACTATAGAATAATTCGTAGGGGTTGTTTGGTTCGGGGAATGTGAGATTCCCATGGGAATGAAATCCACATTCCTATGTTTGGTTGGCCGGGAATCTCATTTCCGGAATGTTTTATTACCAATAGTAGATTTTTTGGGGTTTATTACCGGGAATGTCATTACCTCGCTTTCTTTAGGTATTGTTGGATTACCGGCATTTTGGACTAAAATGCCCTTAATTTTTTTTTTCAAAAATATCATTCTTCTGTCATTGAATAATAAAAATTTTACGAAGGTTAAATTACAAATTTATCCTTAAACTATTTTAGATTTACAAAAAAGTCTAATTAAAATTTTATATGAAGTTCAGGGGTTAAAATAAAATTTTATCCTTTCATTAAACCTTTTTATATTTTCAATTTTGTAAAAAAATTATATAAATTTTATGAATTTAATTTTTTTAAAGAAAATATATAAATATTTTCCAACTTGTTAAAAAAACAAAATATATAATAAGGACAATTTGTTCAAATATACATTCAAATAATCTTTTATTCCTTTAACCAAATACGGTAATCTTACATTCATGCTAAACCAACCAAACACAAAATACAACATTTCCAGTAATCATATGCCCTGGTAATATTTTATTCTCACTGGTAATCTTATATTTCGTGAAAAACGTACTTAAGGTAGTCCTTCAACTTCTAAATATTATATTTTAGTGATCCTTAATAATTAACTGGGATTAATATTGGATTAATAAGATTGATCATACTTATCGTATTTTTTTCGATAAGTATTTTCTCAACATGTTCACTATTCAACGTACTTAGATCGATATAAATAAATTTGAGGAAAAGAGAACTTTAGTCGTTAACGATTTTAATAAAATCGTCTTCTGTTAGATAAAATAATTAACATCTTAAAGTCGTGTTCAGTTAACACGTTTCTGTGACAGGAAAACATGTCTGTTTCTTTTGACAATTACTATTTAAACGATCTATACTTGTAATTAATTTCTCGAGATTTTCACTTCTCTCACTTTTTTTTGTTTTATTTTTCTTATTATTTCTCTAAATAAGCCTTAAAATTTCCTCGTTTTTGTTTCTATTTATACTTTTAATAGATGAATAAGAACCCTAGAGAATATCCCTATATCATGTGTTTTTGTCATTTTGATATGTCTTTGAAATTGATCATCTCTAATCTCTCTACTTTTCTAAATTTGTATTTTTAGGCGTAAGATTAACATTTTTCTCCTTTTAATTCCATCAAATATTTGACATGTCATAAATCCTGATAAATATATCAATATGTATATTCATGAATACATGCAAGATTTTATGTTGAAGTTCGAACATTTAAGGAGTTATAATGTAATTTTAGAAAGCAAAATTAGATCATCGACAAATAATGCAAAAAAAAAAAAACTAAATTATATGAGAATTTGAGATTTTAAGAGGTACAACTCACGCATTGAACCTTGCTCGAATCTACCGAAAATAGAAAATATTGCCCAAGGAGCTATTCATGAGTTCAACATTAGATTTCATCGAAAGGTTTTTATTCTTATGATATACAGGCTATGAAAAGAGTTTATGAACATGAACTTTGTAATGAAATTCAAAGTACATGTATCTTCAACGTGGGAAGCAATACAAACAATGATACAATTGATCACATATGACATAGTTCCTCACAGCAAAATATTTATAAACCTCGAATAACACCCGCTGCAGTGTCAATTTCTCGATATTTCATCTAGTTGCAAAGCAATGTGTCCCGTGTTGCGTTTCCGGTGGTCGGATTCACCCTAACGCCGTAACACCGTTTCAATAGTGAGAGAAATGTCAAACATGTTTTAAAGGAGTTATTATAGCTATCTTACCCGTCTGCAACTTTGCAAAGATATTCACGTTGATCATCTCGCAATGGTACGTCTGTGAAATCTGATCATAAAAAGATAATCAGATAAACCGACCGACTTTGCGATAATGAGATTTGCAGGTAAATTATGCACGTTCATCGGTATCCAGCTGACAGAGAGTTGAGTAAACTGGAGTTCATAGTTCATACATACCGGCACCTGTTATATTTGATCCTTTGAAAGACGTGTTTCCTGTTGCAAGTGCGCCTTCCAAGTTTGCGTCGCTTAAATTTGCCTGCAGGTAAGAACGATTGGAGATTCAAAAGAAGATATCATTCAATAGAACAGTAAATTATCCGTCTGAAAACAGATTTGGATCAAACCCGAATTTAAAAGATCTTTCCAATACGAAAACATATACACCTAACATGTGATTGATCTTTACCTTTGTTACATTTGCCAGAGAAAAATCTGCTCCCCTAAGATCAGCTTCGGAAAGGTCGGCTCCTGCATCGTTTCGCTTAATGAGAAAACATGAGCAGGGACAAAGAACAAAAGATTCGAGTGTTCGTCTAAAGTTGCAGACATGCACTTACATGAACTATTTACTAGCAGCAACATGAAAATGGTCGATGTCTACTCTGTAAGAATACATAAGCATAAAAGCAGTGGAAGATCCATGAAAAATCAATTCAACCCGATGCCTCTTACAACCTCAACTCATAAACATTACAGATATTTCATGAAACCCGATACGAATCGAGGTCTTCTGACCAGTGAGGCCAACATAACCACACTACATTCACTGTACTAGCCCTATAATGGCCTCAGTCTATTTGGCAGTCATATGTTTGAAAACCCCAAACCATTACCAGACCTTAAAAACAAGCTTGAAACTTGAAATTAGCCTCGTCAAATTCTTTCTTCGAGACAACAGAAAAATGGGGGGATATTTGAAGTTCTTAATGAAAAATGTTCGAATTTAGTCAGTTTACATAGAATTGTTGGGAGAAAACCTGTCAAATCGGCATCGAAGAAGCTAGCACCGAGCAATTTCGCGCCTTTGAAATTGGCTTGTCGAAGTATGGACTGAAATGGAGGAAAACGGAAAATAAAATGAGCTTTAATCATTGGGATTAACAGAGGCAAATACCAAAGACATATCGATTAGCTGATAGAACAGAACAATACTGTCTTGAAATCTTGCTTGATCAATGTCTTGCCACTAAAATCTTTGCCGGTTAAGTCTTGTCCTCTTGTTACTTCAGATCCATAAGGCCCTCCTCCCTTTTTAATAATGCACATTGTCAGAACAAAAGACATTCATAACCGATTTAAATCGTCAGAAACTCGTATCTGGCACTCACACCCGAGTCTAAATAACATAGCTTAAATGATCAAATTCGTGTGTATCATATGAAAACTCAAATTTATCTTGAAAGCAAGTGTAGGATCTACCAAGAAAACAGAAGCAGAAACAATGCACATTGTCAAAACAAAAGACATTCCGAATCAATTTGATTCATCAAAAACTTGTATCTGACGCTCACACTTGAGTCTAAATAACATAGCTCAGATGATCGAATTCGTGTGTATCATATGAAAACTCAAATTTACCTTGAAAGCAAGTGCAGGGTCTACCAAGAAAACAGAAGCAGAAACAAGGGCAAGCAAGCTAGCCTTGGACAATGTTTCTCCCAAAGAAAAAGAACGCTTTTCGAGTTTCTCCTCAAGAACCTGTCCAAAATCAAACAACCTTAAATCAACCAAAACAAACAAAGAATTGACGGGGTAAAAAAGGGTTGAAAAATGGAACCTTGGGCGTATGATAGTTCAAAGAAGAGTGGGGTTTAATGAAGCAAAGAGGGGACTTTGGTGGGTTTTTTACAGATAATTTTTTGGAATACAAAGAAACAGTGTTGAAATGGTAGAGAAGAGCCATGTCTGGGGATTTTCCGTTGCTGTCGGATTTCAGACAATGCTTTGATATGGATAATGCTGAAGCAGATATGGATAATGATTTTCTGTTAAGATTTTACGCGCGGCCATTTCAAGTTTCTGTTGGATTAATTGTGGGCTAAACCTGCCAGAACCAGCGGTCCAAACCAATAATGTTTATGGCTGAGCCGGCCTGATACATTGGCCCATATATATGACGTTTTATGTAGTGTACATTTGGGGTATTAGGTTTATTATATAAATTGGTATCTGAACTTGGTAATTACTTTCAAATTTCGAAGTCATTAAAAGATATAAGTAGTATTAGAAAATATTATTCTTTTTAGAAGTTTCAGATTCGATTGTATGTACAAGATGCATGCATTGTCAATAGTTAAAAAATATTATTCTTTTTAGAAGTTTCAGATTCAAACATTGCATGCATAGGATGTATGCATTATCAACAGTTAAGAAAGATATTGACCAAATACTACCTTATAATCGCATTAGATTATTTCAAAAAAATATTTTTAAATTGGCGTCTGAATTTCTTTTTTCAAAAATCGATATTTGAATTTGAAAAGAATTCTTTAATTGATACATGATATTCATATAATATTTTTTTTGTTTAAGCCCTTGGAAGGATTTAGAAAAAAAAAATATTAAGACTTAAGTTTGAACAAAAAAAAATTAATCTCGTATTAAATATGAGTTGGACTCGTACTCTAACATTCAAGGGCTGATTTTGATTCGACCCATATTTTCTATGTTAAAATTTACATGTATAAAGTTATAAAAATAATTTTAATGAAATATAAATAAATAAAATTATTAAAACAGATAAAAAAAGTAATTTATAATATCAACATATATTGATTCATAATGTACTTTTGTATAATTTATTGAATTGATTCAATTTAAAGAAAAATTAAATGTTTTTAAAAATTAATTTTTTATATATAAAATATAAATTTATATAATTTTTCTTGTTAATAAATTACCCGGTCACGACTAGACATTTTAAAAAAAAAATTGAATACTGTCAAACTTTTTATATATATTTTTAAAAAGAACGTAACTTTATTTGATTTTTTGTTAGTGGTGCATCTTCTTATAAATTTCAATGAAAAAGGTGAGAATGAAAAATCAAGTTGTATATCATGATTTTACGTTGATCAAATAATATATACTATATATCATATTAATTTAGGATTTCATATATTTGTGTTTAAGGTTGAATTTTATGAGTGTCAAAGTGATTTAGATAAAATATAAACTAATAGATTAATAAGAGATAATGATGTGAGTTCGTCGATATCTTAAATGGTCAAAGTAAACATCAGAAAATAATAATTTCAGTACCGACATGATACATGATTAAAATTGTAAAATTTTCATATTTAGAAAAAAAATAAAAACAAGAGAACAATAAAAAAATGGTCAAAATAAAAAACAAATCACATTATCATACATTACTATTATGTCGTCCATCAGTTTATAATTTAGTATTTGAGCTATCAAAATAGAAGCAGATCAAAAGTTTAATGAATAGAATATTTTTTAAGTAGTTTAAATGATTAAAATAAAAGTGAGGAAAAATTAATAGTGAAATTTACAATTTATCCTTTCACATGATAAGGGAGAACGCTCGAGAACCCATGGTAGGAACCATGGAGGATGATGGTAGATTCGATTTGAATAGGTTTTGCCACCATTTCCATGTATAGAAACACGTAGAATATATGGATTGGGCAACTTTGGGTTTATTTATTCATTTAAAGAATGCTTTGGTTAAAAAAATCAATAAATAAAATATACAATTAGTCATTTAATTAAAGAATATTATTTTAATGAATTTTTTAATTATTAAAAGTTATAAAATAATATTTTAATTATTTATATATTTTAAATTTATTTTTTAATAAATAGTGATAGTTTGAGTTGTATGTTAATTTATTGATTGTTCTATAATGTTGTTTGAGATTTTATAATTAAATTTTATTATTTCATAATCAACAGATTAATTTTTAATTTAAATTATCATCAATTTTTAATAAAAAATAAGTAATTTAAAATATATAATAATTAAATAATTATTTAATAATTTTTAATATTCATAAATTTATGAAATTATATTTTATAATTAAGAGATTATTTTGTAATTTTAATAATTAAAGCACTTAACAAAAATAACATTTATCCAATAAAAACAAAAGAAGAGAGTCGACAAAACAATGGATAGATATGCACCGATAATGGGCAAGTCAGTCTGTCTGTCGACCGAAAACAGTGTTTGACTGCCAAACATAATAAAGTGTACGTGTGGCGATGCAGGCCCTTTGATCCCTACTTTCGCTAAGTCGCTAGGGTAACTTATGTTTGGAGAGGTATATATATATATATATAGGGTAAACTAACTATTCAGTCACCATTCTATTATTTAATTTCTGTTTGTCACTTAACTAATATTTTTTAAAATCGTGTATAATGTTATAGTTTAATTCAGTTTTGAACACTTATCATTAAAAGTAACGATAAAACTAACATATTGTATTATAAGATAAAATCATATTGAAATTAAAAAAATAATTAAATAATATCATGCCAACATTATGCATATTACTCAATTTGATTTGCTACATAAATCTTCTCCATAATTTGGTATTAGTCCACCAACCACAAATAAAGGGTAAGGGAAGCTTTTGAATAATGGAAGTGTATTACTCAATTTGATTTGCTACATTCAAATGTGCCCAGCTTTCAAATAAACTTGATCTTAAGCCCTTGATCATCATCATCATGTCATAACCAAAATCATATATATGATCATCATCTTGATTTGAAATATTGAATCCATCCTAATTAAAAGTAGGGATGACAGTATAATCCGAACCCGACAGGAAAACTTGAAATTTGATCAAGTTTGGGTTGGATCGGGTTAAATGATATCAAGTCGGGTCGGGTATCGAAGATTTTATCGGGGATTTTTTTCAGGTCCGGTTCGGGGCAAGGTATCTCCGTCCCGATTATATATATATATATATATATACTATTTTATATTTTTATATTAATTATATATATACTATTTTATATATTTTATATATAATATATTTTTGGATTCGGGTTTGGGCATAATATTTCGGGTCGGGTTCGAGAACGGGACAAAAAAAATCCTCGACGGGGTGCCCCGATAAAAAATCCGTCGAGGATCAAGTTGGGGTTGGGGATTTATTTCGGGTTCGGGAACGGAACGAGCAAAACCCGCCCCGAACCCGACCTGACCCGTTGCCATTCCTAATTAAAAGCTAGTTAAAATAGTAGCGATACATTGATAGTGTACCTAACTTTAAATTTTAAAATTTAAGATTAAATAGTGTAATTTATTAAAATAATAAATGTTTCAAATTTTTATTAAAATAATATTATTTATTTAAATGACATATTTTATAAAGACGTATTTACATAGAAACGCCTTACGAGAAACTCGTTTTAAAAGTAGTGTCTTTAACTATGTGACTGGTCATCTGTACAATTTCCCCAACATTTTTTCCCCAACATTGATGTAACCTAAAACTATAATAGAAAAGTAATAGAAAATATTGGGTCAGAAAGTTATACAAAATTTATTCAAAAAGAAATATTATACACTACACATTCACATTCAGATATTGCAGTTGTACGTTTAAAAAAATATATTTAAATATTTTCAAAATTATATATATATAAATATATCAAATAATCTTAGCGGTAATAAAGAGTTATTCTCTCATAAAATTTTGAGTTTAAACAATTACGTTTGCAGAGTGATATGATTTATTAGTAGTTAAAATATTTTTTAAACAAATAATATCTCATAATTATCTTAAATTATTAAAAAAATAAAAAAAAACTCATATATATATATAAACAATATAATATTTAAAAATATGATGACAAAATATAATTCACACGAATATAGTTTCACATCAATGTTGAATACCAACCCATCAAAATCAACTCCATAATACGACCCAGGATGAACAGTTCCCATTATTAATAACGGGTTTCCTCTATATGTACATTATAAACGCATCCCCCTTAAAACTATTACCATTTTAAGCTTGAAAAAGAAAACATTTGCAAAAACCAAAAACAACAAAAGTAAAAGGGAAAACCAGGTCGACATACAGGAAACCAGCCCCTGCAAAATTGCTCTACAACAACATCATTGTATAGTAGCAAAGAAATAGTGGGGTTTCGACATACAAAGCGTACAAAACCATTTGTTTTTTGACCTTTAAAAGAGTACACTTCCCTTAACAGGGTCAGCTCTGCCACAAAGGACGCATCAACAAAAGAGCAAAGAGGACCCCTCCGTCTCCTCTCCTGAAATCAAGCGAGTGTTTTTTTTTTCACCCCGTACTTGAAAGATCGCTTTCAGTCGCTTGATTTGATTTCTCGCTTCTTTTTTCATCTGTAAATAGCGTGTCATTCAAACAATCCTTCTATGGGTCCTTTTAGTTTCTGCTATTCGATAGGTTTTTGAAGTTTGAAACTTGGATCTGATCTTTGAGGTTAGTGATTAGGTTTTTTTTCATGCAAAAACAAGAGGAACCCATATTTGAATGTATGGTTCATGAGTATCTTGGTCTGGTTTTAAGACAATAGATAAGGTTGTTGGTCCTTTTTGTGGGGGTTCTTGTTTGGAGATCTATCTCTCAAAGGGAAGCCATGGCTAATCGATGGTGGGCTGGGAATGTGGCAGCTTTTAGAAACCCATCTGAAGATCACCCAATGAGAGCTTTTAGACCTAATATTAGCCCTTCGAATGAAGATCATCGAGAGGATAATGAAGATAATCGAGAAAATATCGAATCGGAAGACCAAACTCAAGTTCTCGAAACCGGCGAACCAGGTTCTGGTTCGACCTCTCGCCGTCCGAGGGGTCGACCGCCTGGTTCGAAGAACAAACCGAAGCATCCCGTTGTTATCACTAAAGAAAGCCCTAACTCTCTCCACAGCCATGTGCTTGAAATAACTAGCGGCGGCGATATTGTCGAGTGTATCGGCAATTTCGCTCAAC